CAGAGTGCAATAATGGGCTTGTTTCTCCTCTCCTAGGAGTGTGTGTGTGTGTGTGTGTGTGTTTGGAGAGGGACAGTGATGAGGAAGAAAAGGGGACCAGCTTACAGAGGGGCCAGAGAACTCCTTTTCTTTCCTGAAAGACCAATGAAAGACCAACTTTCCCTCCCCACCCACTTCCCCTCTGTCTTATCAGCTTTAAGATTCCCAGTGCTCCCAGCATCAGTGTTGCTAAAGGCCCATCAAACCATTACCTTGTGCGCACCCCCATGAGCCCATCAGGTAGAGGTGGGGCTATAGCAAGTTTCCATCGCTTCAGTGGGACGGGGTAAAGAGGTGGAAGGAACCATGATCAGCTGGGGCTAACAGGGAGTCTGTGGTGTGCACTGTATTTTCCCAGGTCTGAAATGCAGGGGGTCAGAGCATACGCTGGGCCTGTGAGATGGGGGCCACTCGGGATGGAGAGCACGACGTAGAACACACACTGTGGCCCTGCATCAGGCTGGTTCCTGCTCAGGAGCAGTTCTCCGCGTCCTAGAGAAAAGCCGAGACACTTCGGGCCTAAGTGGCAGCTTCCTCTTCAGCCAAAAATAAACAAGGAGCAGCCAGAGGGCAGACAAGGAAACGGGCAGGGGAGGAAATGAGAGGCTGAGGAGCTAAGATGTCAGGGTGAAACGAAACTGCATCAGTTTCCTGTCTCAGATCACGTGGTTGCTCTTCTGGGGCAAGACAAGACTCTTAGGTGTGGCCGAGGGGAAGAGTGAGAGCTGAGGCAGCAGGACCAGTGGCCCGCAGACTGGCGCAGGGAAGAGGGGAAAAGGCTGGACAAAGGGACGTAAGTCTAGTTTCCAGTGGAGCATTAGGCCCTCGTGTTGGAGTGCTCTGGGTGTGAACACCGTCCTGGGACCAGCCGCTGAGACCGATTTCAGGGCAAGTGAGCCGCTGAAGGCCCAGCTCTACCTTGAGCAAGTTCACCCTCCCATCCTCTACGTCACAACATTTCCTAATGCTCACTCTTCCAAAACAAGGGCTGCAGGAGGATTTCAGAATCCACAAGAGTGTTTTCCTGGTGACTGGTTCGTGAGACGCCCTACCCGATGACTAGTGAATGAACAGCTGGTGAATGATTCCCTGGTCAATGCGATGACAGTTGCTTCACTGTAATCTGCTGTAAATCGATGTGCCTTTGGAGATGACAGAACGAGTCAACACAGTACTGGCTCTGAGAAGTCCTGCACCAAAGGAATTTATTTAACATGTCATTTTTCGACTTACCTGGCTGAGGACAGGCCGGCTGAATGTCTAGTCCACAACATCATACACTATGTTAACAGTGCCCCTGCATCACACAGTTAATGTGGCCATATAGGGTGATCCTTGCCATGGACCGTTTTCCCCTTTAAGGAACACCTGTTAGCATCTGGAGAGATCCTTGCGTTCTGTGGGACACGGTTTAGGAAACAGGGTTAAGGTGATGTCTCGCCGATCGTGAAATTGCAGGTGGCGCTACATTCACAGTATTTCTGGGGCTAGAGGTCTGAGTGGGGTCGACTTGTGCCAGCGCATTCATCCATCAGGCCTGCTTGGAACCCACAAAATCCTTTTGCAAGATGGTTTCCTGAGATAAGGATGCAGCTGTGGCCACAGACAGAGGGTGAGATTAGCTTTGCTGAGAGTCATTCACAGCCACAGTTTTCTTCGCTCAGTGCCCTGGCGTTTTGATCTAAATCAATTCCGGAATAGGCGGGTGGTGGTGGGAATGCTCCATGGCCCTTTAAATGTTTAAGGGTCACCGATGTGCAGGACTGAGTGCATGTGATAAAGAATTCCTGGAGGGAAATGTGGCTCAAACCGCCAAGGACTGGATTGGTCTCCTGCACACGCTTCCCAGCTCTGAATCGGCTAGTGTCCTATAAATCTTCAACGTTTTTGGTTCAGATTCTCAAACAGCAGTTCCCGAGTTTTGCTGTGCATTAGAATCCAGCTTTTAACTCTGATGCCTGTGCTGCGTCCCATCCCAACGAAACCACAGTGCTGTGGGTGGGAGTCAGGCATCTGAAATTGTAAACCGCCCCAGTAATTCCAATGCGCCGCAGAGCTGAGGGGTCGCCGGTTTGGAAGCACTTTCCCTTCCGGGCATTGCATTGCCACAGACAGGCCTCCTTGGGCAGAGCAGGGTCCACCCCGTCCTCATCTTGGTCCATAACAGCAGCCCCAGGAAGTTAAGGATCGTGATCAAGGCCACACATTGTGTCAGGTTTCAGGCAAGTGTCACTCCATTGAATTTATTTAGGTCAAACCCAGTGTATCAAGATAGATTCTGGAGATGGTGGGATAAGAGATTGGGGGAGGGGTCGCTGGGATTAAAACCCCAGTGGACTGAACATGGGTCTTTGTGTCTGAAGGAGAAACGAGGAAACCCGTCAGTGCCGCCTGCCCTGCCTGTCAATGCTGTTTCTGTCTGTGGATGCGGGTTTGCATGTCATTTAGAGAGACAAAGCGGAGCCTTTGTGCCAGAGATGAGGGACATTATCAAAGCCCACAGCTGGTCTTCAGACTGAATGTCAACTATTTGTCTCCTCTCACTTTGCAACAAACAAGTCCTCCCCATGAGTCTGGGGCTGTCTCAAGCGTTCACGCCTTCGGTTTTCTAGTTTCCTCGTTCCTGCATCAGCAGCTATGAGAAAAACCTGCCATTTTCTGGAACTGCGCTATCAGCCAGAGGGCTGGTGTCGGGTCCTGTGATGTGTGGGGTAGGGTTTTGAGAAGATAGTAGCTTATACAATTGCAGGCCCATGTTGAAACAATTTGCTCATAACTGGACTCCTTTGAGGCTTCAGAGTTTATTAACTAGAAACTTAGAGGCAAGGATAAAAGGAATTATCCCAAATTCCCCAAATACCACCAACTCAAAACAGTTTTTCACCACCTGGCGTCATTGAGTCGCCCTATGGTACATATGGGGTGAAGTACGAGCGCACCGTAGGTAGACGGGTGGGCTGAGAGACGCTGGGTGATGCGCTCTGTGTTACTGGGAACTTGGGACATGACCTGAAATTCTGATAGTCTATGGTAGGTGTTAGAAGAAATAAGATACTTCTTTTTTTCCCCTAATATTATGTAAGACTCTCAAGGTTAGAGGATGATTTCAGCATTATTTCTTCCCTAGCCTCCAAACAAGGACGCCGGGAATTCTCCTTAGAATGTATTTTCATGAAAGATTGCCACTAAGATAAGAGTTGTGATCTAGAAAGCCTGGATCAGAGTTGGTTTGACAAAAGCTAGCTTGTTTTTTTTGTGTTCTTTTTTTTTTTTTTTTTGGTACGTGCACCTAGCGGGAACCGAACCTGGGACTCTCTGGTCCATGGGCCAACACTCCAAACGCTGAGCCAAACTGGCCAGGGCTAGCTTGTTTTTTAAAGATTATGAATGAATCTCTAGGATGCCATCTTTTGTTAGGTGTGTTATAATAAAATACTTAATTTGTGAATCATTTACTTTATAAATATAGTGGGATTTAAGGCTGTTCCTGTCTACAGCACACTGACCTGTATTCCACAAAGCTTCCTTGACTAGAAGGAAAAAGGGGTGGAGGACCTGGGAATCGCTTACTTCAGGGGAGTGTTTCACATGTGAGCAAGTCTGCTGAAGAAAAGATTTGGAATCATTTTACAGCCTAACCTGGAGCTACTCCGAGGATGTTCCCCAGACCAGCTGAATGACTGGGGCAAGGTAGTTAGAAATGCAAATTCTCAGACCCACAGAGCAGAGTTGATGAATCAGACCACTGGCTGATGAATCAGAACCACTGGTGGGACCCAGCCCTCCGCACTGTAATTCTAGAGCTCACCAAAGTTTGAGAAGCGTTTTCCTAGAGTGATCAGTGTGATCTCCTGACCAACATCTGCACCTCCTGGGAACATGTTGCAAACCACCGAGACCCTCTCACCAGGCATGGGCAGGTGGTAACAGAAAGGCTCCAGAGCACTTTTTTTTTTTATCCTCCCCCGAGGACATTTTTCCATTTTTTAATCAGGTAGAGTGGGAGGGAGAGAGAGGAAGAGAGAGAGAGAGAGAAACATCGATGTGAAAGGGACACATCAAATGGCTGCCACCCGCACGACCAACCAGGGTCAGGGACAAACTGCAACCAAGGTACGTGCCCTTAGTGGGAACTGAACCCGGGTCTCTCTGGACCGCAGGCCGACACTCTAACCGCTGAGCCAAACCGACCAGGGCTCCAGAGCACTTTTAAATGTTCAAAGGCCACAGCGATGGCCAAACTGAACGTATCAAATAAGGAACTCTTGGATAGGAATTCTCTGGACCAAACTGGGAAGACCTCCTGGACCTGTTTCCCAGCACTTGGTAATTGATAAACCTTACAATGCTCAGCGGCTCCCTCCCCCACCTTTGGTTAGAGCACTGGCCGCTGCTGAACCCCCAGCCCGGGAGGCGGGGCCCAGACACCCGTGTTGTAAGAAGCCCCACAGGTGGATGTACCCTCCCGGTTCGAGTCAGGAGCTACAGTGCCCATCAAATTGCCCACTGCATGGCCCTGCAGAGATTAAGACTTCCCCGCATCAGCCTATGTGTGGGGCCCCTGAAGCTGACTCCTGGCGGCTGCGCATCTCTGTCAGTTCCAGGCTAAGGGGTGCAGCCTGGAGGGGCCCCTGGGTCCACGTGCAGTAACATGGCCACACTCAGACCCAGGGAGAGAAGATGACATGGTTGTGAAGTGGAGACCTTTCTTTCTCCACTTTTTCCGTGGTCCAACCTCCACACGACCGAGAAAGCTCAGAGACCAGAGAGCAGAAGGCCTGAGACCGCCGCTCACAGGCACTGGGCTCGCGAGCCTGCCTCCTGCTCCAGGGGAGGCGCGTCCTCTCGGGCATCCGGCCTCACGCAGAGACCTTCTGCTTGGGATCCCGGGATGGCTGCTAACCGCTTTCTTCTCTGGTTGCTTTGGGGTGGCTCCAGCTAATGAGTATATTTTCTCAAAGGTATTTGGACCCACCATGTGAAGAGGTCTCTGACACTGAACAAGGGGACTGATCCCGGAAAGATGAAGATTGATAAAGGTGGGGCTTGGGGCCTTTACAGGGAATTTCTGCTGTGGGGCTGGCGAAAGTCTGAGGAGCTGAGCGGGGGCGGGGGGGGGCAGCTCCTGTGGGGCTGCGAGGGAGAATACAGCATGAACGGGAGATGAAGGAGGGCTGCTGCTCATTGTGTCCCAGGGGGTGTTAGTTTACCTCTGCCAGGCGTAAGCATGTGCCCTAACCTCCTAGATCTGTGAATTCTGCACTTGCGCTGAGGAGACAGCCACAAACAGCCCAGTAGGTGCCTGGATGCTTTGATGCACATTTTCTAGAGAGGGGAGATGTCACCCACCCTGCCTTCCTGAGACAGAATAACACTGGCAGGGACCCGGACCCTTTCACCACATGCTCTTTCCTGGCAGACCTGTCTCCAGAGGAGCTCCAGCTCCTGAGCACGCACCAGGCAGCCTGGGAGTCCCTGCTTCTCCTCTTACTGTCCCTGAATTCGTGTTTGTCACTAAATTCAGGTTGGAGGTAGCAAGAGGAACCTTTTAGCTCTGCTGCCTCTCAAACTCCTATTGGAATGACCAAAAAGTAAATGCAAAATTGAGGGAAGTGTGTGCTACTCGAGATAACGGAGTGTCAAAGCTGCATGGGAGAATTTAAGGCATTTTCTGCGACAGAATCAAATTGCAAAGGGAAGAGGGAAGGACCGGCCTGCCCATGACTCAATATCTACACAGAATCAGGCTGCTTGGTGAACTAATGGGTAGACTTTCTAGTAAAACCCCCCACTCCCCAATCACCCAGAACATCTGGCCAGCAGCTACAGTACAAACGTATGAATGTTTGAGCCCCTTAGACTTGAGTTCAGACCTGCTCTTTGCTAGGTGTGCGATCTAGTCAGCCTTAGTCTCATCCACTGTTAAATGGGGGTAATACTCACTCTAAGGTATAACAAGGATTGAGTAAAACAGTGCAGGCAGCCCTGACTGGCTTGGCTAAGCAGCTGGAGCATTGGCCTGTGGACCAAAGAGTCGCAGGTTCAATTCTGGTCAAGGGCATGTACTCAGTTGTGGTTCGGTCCCCAGCCCTGGTCGGGGTCATGTGGGAGGCAGCCAAGCAATGTGTCTCTCTCACATCGATATTTCTCTCTCCCTCCCACTCTGTGTATAGAAATGTAACAATATCCTTGGGTGATGATTAAAAAAAAAATTAGTGCAAGTAAGGAGTCATAGTCAGAATGTCCATGGTTACCATTTATTGATTACTGTATGCCAGGTACTGTGTGTGCTATTACTTTCCATAAATGCTTTCCTTTAATCAACAAGAAAGCTCTGTTCAGTTGAATCTTATTCTGATCACCATTTTCCACATGAGGCAATGAAGGCTTATGAACGTTGAGACACGTGCTCAGGGTTCACAGCTGTCAAGGGGAGAAGGAATTTGAACTCAAGCTGTCCAAGTGCAAAGCTCATATGCTCAAATCCTAATCTATACTGTTCCAAACCCTTCAAATGTATTTCTTTTTCTAATCCTTACAATAACCTTATGGTAACCATTTTTATTGGTGAAAAATAGCAGTTCAGAGCCAAGAGATGTTATATAAAGATCTGAAACCAAGTCTGTGTGACTCTAAGTTCTCTACTCTTTACTCTCATGCTGTCTTTTAATTAATATACTCTATGGAATGTCATTCTGTTTCCCAATTTTGTATTATATTTTATTCCCCCCTGAACAGAGGTGTGGGATGGCTATTATGCATGATTGAGAAAGATTAAAAATATAGTTCCAACACCCTCTGCTTCTTTTTCAAAAAAAAATTTTTTCTTTATTGATTTTAGAGAGAGGGAGGGAGGGAGAGATAGAAATATCAGTGAGAGAGAACACTGATTGGCCGCCTCCAGCATGCCACCCATGGGGATCAGGCCCACAACCTGGGCCTGTGTCCTGACCAGGAATCGAATTGACGACCTCTTGGTGTGTGGGTTAATGCTCAACTACTGAGCCACACTGGCCGGGCAACCACTTTTTTTGTGTGTGTGTGGTACGTGCCCCTAGCGGAAACCGAACCCGGGACTCTCTGGTCTGCAGGCCGACGCTCAACCACTGAGCCAATCTAGCCAGGGCTGAGCAACCCTCACTTTTTGAAGAATTGCATTACTACTGTCTGTGAGAGCCTCTAAACTGCCCAATTTCCCTTTGTTTGCAGAACTCACAGCAAACATCGGGCTTCCTCTGGAACTGCTTCCGAAGCATGAGCCTTGGCCAGCCTATGTGACATACACCTCCCTGATGGTGGAGCGACTCGTCGAGAAGAGCAAAGCCAGAGAACGGGAGTGCATGCAAGCTCTCGAGGAAAGCCGGCGGAACCTGGATCAGGACAAGACTTCCGGCATCGTCCAGCTGAGAAGGAAAAAATTATCTAAGACCTCTGGCAGGATGGCGCTCAAGGACACGAATTCAGAGACCGTGCTATCCCTGTGGAGCGCTTTCTCGACAAGTCCCACCAACGGCCCAGAAACCATACACATTCATACAGACTCCCGAGGAAGTCCCACTGCAAACTATAACAAGATCATCTTCTCTCGAAAACCTTTGATGAGGATGCTTCCATACAGCTCACTTCTGGCCAGCAAGGAAAAACATTTCAATGTTTAGCAAGGAGTCCCTGCGACCGTCCCCCAAGGCTGTACAGAGATTAAGCTTCACTTGCCGCAAATGTCACTATGTCCTTGAAGGCTGAACTTGCTCCTGCTCGTGCAGAGGTTGGCTGAGATCAGCCAGATCAGAATGTGAGCCTTGGCGGGTGGGCACCCCCACTCCAGATGCATTCAGATCGGGCTGGGAAGCCCCAAGTTCCAGTTCCCACTTAGATGCTTCGGACCTAACCGTGGGTAAATTAGTCTGAGTCCAGACAACAGGCAGATGGCACACCAGTTATATTATTAGAGAATTTAATATAAAGATTGATTAACTAGGTAACTGAAAATGCAAGAAGAGGAAAAAAAGTTATCCATGGAGGTGGTGCCTACAGGGAACAGTTATCAACTTTGAGGCTGGGGTGTGGGGAACAAAGGGAAGATATGGGATAACCTAAAAGTGAGCCAGCTGGAGAAGGGGCATGTGGGCTGATTCTCAGGTGTCTGAGGGAGGGAGAGGGTGTGCTTCTTAACTGGGGGTCTCCGAGCTCAGAGGACAGTCCCTGTGGGGATGGTACCCCTGCCTCTGAGGAGGGGTGCTGTTTTGGCTGAGGTTGATTCTGTGAGTGTTAGGAAAACCAAAAACTGACCTCAAATGCTTCCGGAATGAAGTCACACTACCTAAGTGAACAAGAAGCATTGCTGGGGGAAACAGACAGGGACAGGAAGCCCACAGAGATCAACAGGAAGTAAACCAAGAAACGAGTTCCTTTTCTCCTCCAGCCTCGTGGGCTCCCTCTAGCACCCACTACGGGCAGAGCCTTCCAGGGAGGACAGCAGGAAGGTAATCTGCAGAATCCCAAACCCAGCATCTCAAAAAGGATGGACTTGAAGCCCAAGAGAAAATTAGCTTGAACCAGCACGGTAGGGTTCAGGGGAGCCCGCCTGCTGTTCCACTTGAAACCCGAACCTGGTAGTGAGGAGTTTTTGCCTTGGGTTGTCCCCTGCTGAGACATGGAGGGTTTTCTCCCCTGTTCTTCTTTGATCCTTGCCTTGTGGAACAGAGCTGGTGGGGGAGAAATTCGTGGCTGGACCTCAGCTGTTATTTGTCAGAACACAGCTAGAACCGGTCTGCTCGTGTTCTCAGCTGTCCCTGATTGGTCCCAAAGCAAGGGTTGCTAAACAACTCAGTGTCAAAGCAAACAGGCTTTGTCTTTATCCCCAAGGAGATCCGGTTATGCTGGCAGCCCCAGCTGCCTCAGATTGGGATTTATCTTCTGGGCACAGCTGACTGGTGGCCTTTCTTTCCTTTGACCTCACCTGAGCTTCTGAGTTTCCGTTCCTAAAGCATATCGATCACGCTGCCCTTACAGAGATGTAGAGGTTGAAATGTGCTAGTTGCTATAAACGCTATTTGAACAAGTTGAGTTTGCCCTACGAATGCTTTCTCTCCATCCCAGAGTCTGTGGAGACGTTTGCACTCAACTCTGGCTGCTGTGAGTTGTGCGGGACACCTGTGCACACGGAGCCCCAGACGCATCGTGAGTCCGCAGCTCTTGGCCGGAGTAAACCCTGAAGAATATCAGTGTTTTCCAGCTAACCCGAGTGACTGTATTTCTTGTGCATTGAGCACGCAAAGACATGGAGGCAGTGGATAAATTCCTCCAAGAATGTTTATCTCTTCTATCCTTTCATGGAAGTTTATAGCCAGAGTATATTTAGGAAGCTATGGGTTATAATGCCCCGTTAAGTGTTAGAGTTTATAGGAATTTGGAAGTATTTCTTCCAATCCCTTTGAGGGCAGGGCAGTTACATTTCTTTTATTATTATTATTAAATTTTTAGGTGTTTAACAGTTTTTATAAAAATGTATCATCTCTAAATTTAAATGAGTGTTTTACAAGTAGCACTGTGCGGATGAACTTAATTCTCAGCCTGTTACAACACCACGAACATGAGCCTGACCGTGGTGGTGAGAATTGGCTGCATCTGCGACTGCAGTTCAGACTCATTGCCTCCTGAGGCGATTTTAACAAAGAAAAAGTCTAATTCGTTTTGAAACATAGGGCTCTGTTCGAGCCCAAGCTGGGGTTCATGGGTCTGGCCACATTTGCATGAGGACAGAGGAGGCTGCTGGGAAACCATTCTCCCAGGGAGGAAGCAGCTGAACAGCACTAGCTGAACCATGCGAAGCCTTGGCCAGTGGGGAGGGGGGGGTCCTGAGTAGCCTGTGGTCTGTTGCTTAGATTTGTCTCCATGGAAGTGGGGTCCTGTGAGTCAAGTTCTTAGAGGGTTCTTTTGCTAAAATCCTGGAAGGCCCTGCCGTAGACATGAAGAGTGGGGAAGAAAGCTTCTTCTTGGTTTCACAACTAACCAGCATGCAGCGACCCACTGCCCTGGGTGTGGACAAGCAGCAGCCGGCCCGGCAGACACTCGGCAGCACCAGCTTTGTTCGTGAGAACCTGACAGGCATCCCTGGTGCTCCCAGAACAGGCATGAGACCCTTCCAGGGCCTGAAGCCTGTCCCCCCGAGCAGGCAGGGCACGGACTGGAATGTGGACTATTCCTGTGTGACCTCCTCTGCCTGTCCAAGCCCCAGGGGCCTGAGGTAGCTCAGGTTACCTGGACACAACGAGCTTCCATCTCTAGGAGGGAACGAGCTGTCTCTGATGTTCCACAGCCCACAGCCCCTTCTTAGCTATCTCCTCAGCATCTGGAATTTTCTGTTTGGCCGGGAGTTGCGCCTGTCAGGCCCTTGATGCAGTGGTTTACGCAGCAGCAGGATGTGCTGTTGGCCTGCTGTGCGGGTCTGTAACTCGGGTCCCACTCTGCCACATACCAAGGAGTGTTTTTGAACAAATTCTCTGGCTCCCGTGCACAGTATGGTATTTACCATCTGCAAATTCCACAGTCGGTGTTGAAATAGACGATGTTTACCCTCAGCAATGAGAAGGAGCCTGCGGGTCATTTTAGCTCTGCCAAGGCTGTCAGGACCTCACACAGGTCCACATTTTGCTGCATCCTGTCCCAGCCAGGGCCTGGGAGCACACCTGGAAGGAGACAAGGTTGCTTGACAGATATGAGGCTGCAGGAAAGTCTTCAAGGACGTAACCTCATAAACAAAGGTGCTAGTGCAGGTGTGTGCGAGCCAGGTGCTTGGAGTGGCCTGGGAGCCCCTACCTGGAACGGGAAGCTGAAGCAGGACCTAAATGGAGGGGCCTGGAGAGCCGGGCTTCATCAGCAGCTCCAGTGACTCGTGCTCATGGTCAGCAAGTCCTGATCCTCCTTTTGCCGGCCCAGGTCCTCATATAGGAAGCAGAATGCCTCTCAGATGCCTCAGTCTCTTTCTTCAGGACGGAGGACAGCAGGGGGTCCTGAGGTGGGGACTTTGACCCTTGGACCTTCAGGGGAGTCCTTAGAGGCAGCCAAGAAATCTCAAGAAACTGGGGTTATTGCACAGGACTCCAACCAGGGACCGAAGGTGTGTCCATGGAGACAAAACCAGGAGCAGAAACCCCAACTCTGACACAGAGGCGACAGAGACCGAGGAGGTGCCCTGGGAGATGCGGGTGGGCTCTCGGCGTGGCTGTCATTCATTCCTAGAATCGGGAGGAATACCCATCCTTCTCCAGCGACAGACACATTTCCAGAGCCTGGGCTTTATTGGCGCCAGATCTGATGGAACGCGACCTGAGGTTTACTGACCAAACGTCCTCAGAGCCCGACGGAAGCTCAGACCCGGGTTTATGTTTGTGGAGCAATCAGGAAATTCTCACTCTTCCTCCCCTTCCCCCATCTCCATCTTTCACAGGGACCCAAAGCCTCAGCAGCTACTTAGGGACTTGGAAATCCCACGACAACACCCTAAAGCTGCAGGGCATGGCTGGGCCGAGCTGTCCCCGGCACCAGGCATGTACATGGGCTTCCCCTTGGGCATTGGGGGTGAAGGGGCAGGCAGGGCCACGGGGGATGCGGAGCACTTCACGCTTAGGTGGGGCCCACTGCCACCTCACCTCTGTGCCTTGATCCTGACCACGATCCGATTCCCGTGTGGGACAGGGCAGGTAACAGGTAGAGGACACTGGCCTGCTGTAAAGACCTGTGTCTTCCCCCAGCCGCTGTACTCCAGGGCAAGTGGAAACCACTGTGCCCCCACCCACCCCCAGGCCTTTGTAGGAAACGTTGCTGGAGCCCAGCAGGCTCATGACACCAATCCACCTACTCTCTAGATTCAGCTACCCAGAACAGTCCGTTATTTTGGGTGGACAAGTGATGTGAGAACGACACGTTTTCAGGCCTCTGTGGAGCCATTTCTGTGTGTGTGCCTGTGGGGAGGCTTTTGCAGAGAGCAAAGTTAGTACCAGAGAGAGCTGCTGGCCAGGAGTCCGCCCTGTGGCCACCAGGCCGTCTGCCATGCTTGTGCACACTGGAGCTTGTCCACGTCCACTGTACTGCCCACGGGCTTATATCCTGCTTCCCCACGGACTAGCCAACACCAGTTAGCGAGCCCCTTGGGACTGAAACCAGGCTCTCAACTCCAAGGCTGCTCCCCTACACCCAGTCCCCTCCCCCGCCCCAGTTTCAGCAAGGACAGTCCTCTCGGGGTACCCTCGAAGAGGTCAGTGTTGGTACCTTCGGTTGTGAACGGCTTTATGAGGAGTCTCCCCTTCGGGGACACAGTTACCCAGGGCCCATTTCCCAGGTGCCGCCAGCCCAGCAGAGCAGGGCTGGGGAGTTGGAAGGGCCACGGGACCTAGACAAGGCCAGTCACGTTCACTGTCCTGTTCCCAGAGCCCTGTCCGTCATGATCTGGCTGGTGCTTAACTGTGTGTTGGGAAGATGATTCAGGGAGTCCTCACCCTAAAACCAAATGGAATGGAAACAGATGGTTTCTTTCATACTCACCAGAAGCTGGAGGAGCCGCTTGGCCAGGTTTTGTAAGAAGCGCGAGGCACTTAGTGAAAGTTCCTTCTAGTCCTGATGACACGGTTCCAGTAAGGGATCCATAGGCACCTTGGAG